TTTTTTTACGCCTTTAGTAAGACTGATGGTGGAAGTAGTTATGCTTAGCGTTGGCTGGGCTGCTAGTGTAAGAACGGTTGGAGAACTATATTTCAGAGAGCTTTCAGACGGGTTATTATAAAAAAGATTACAGCGTTTACATGCAGCGGGATTTTGAATTACTGGTTTTCTAATCTATGGCTACACTTCTGGAGAACCGGTAACAATGGCTCGGTGTCGCAGCTCCCATAAAGTAAGCTATTTGGATGTTTTTTCCGAGTGATTGGGTGGAGGGTTTGTATAGGATAGGAACAGTCAGCTGATCTCTCGTTTTCTAATCTCCTAGTTGTGGCGGAAACTTGGATTACATTTTTAGTTTTTGATGACGCTTCTATAATTTGGACTCATTGGAGTAGGTTGAAAGAAATGAATAAGGCAAGAAGAGTTGGTAGGGTGTATTGTGCAGCACAATTTTTTGCGGCAGATTATTTGATATACTGAAAGAGGTATATATATGCATTTAGAAACGAATTGAAACTTCTACTTCAGAAAAATTTACTGCTTGTTTATTTTGGCGATATGGAGAGTTTTACATTGCGTACTGTGTAACTTTTTGGGTGTAATCTGGTTGGAACTGTAAATAATCACGGGTTACGAAAGCTGTTTTTTTTATACCCAGAAACATCAAAAGTATTTGAGGTGGGGAGTATAGTCATTTTTTGAACTGTTATGTCAGACCGTGGTGGGTGCTTTTAGGGGAGGTTATGTATGCAATTTATATGTTACAATTTCTTAGGCCTTAGGACGTTCCAGCAGCCATTTTTTTAATCTGTTTATCGTTATCATTGTTATCAGTACTTTAAGGTTGAATCTCGTCACTTTGGAATGAGTCAGAGAAGGCTGAAGAAAATTGTCAAGAAAAGAGCACAACAGCCTCTAGCTGTTGTCGAGGAAAGCGACCTTCAGGTTTCATTTTAAGTTTTCTAGAGTTTTTATTCTTTTTTTGCATTCCTGTTCATTCTTCTTAGGAAAACTGGGCCATCTAAAAAACTTTCCAGGAGTTATCTAAGTCTGTTGAAATGACTTCTGCTGAACTCACTAAAGGCTTTCGGAATGCAAATGAAGAATCTGAAAAGAAGGGACCAATTGTACGGACAGACAAGTTACGTCGAAGTGACCTCCCACTATTAAAGAATAGCGAAAAGAAGTCAGTTGCTTATTATCTTTTTTTGAACAGGAATTACGGGGGTTAGGATGTTATTTTTAGGATGAGACAAGTGAAGTGTTTTATTATTGCAAGTCAGATTATTCGTTCAGATTAAGAATGCTGAGGTTGGCTGCGTTGGCAGTCACGAAAGAAGTGTGATTGTTGGCAGGAATTGGTGTTAGATATAAATATAGTGGACTAAAAATGTACAACAATAAATTTGTCGTCACTGTATCATCAAAAAAAAATTCGTGGAGAGAAGCTTTTGGGACTCGGCAACAATAAAGTGGTTTAAGTGTGAGAGGTCGTGCTAGTGATGCAGCAAGTGTTATTTGGGCATATTGCATCAAAGCTTTCAGGATCTCAGATTAGTTTTAAAAAATTACACGATGAGACTGGGATATGATGTGCGGTTGTTAAGAAGTACCAGG